GTGATTATACAAAGGTGTAATTGAATTTAAATTTTTTTAACATGTATCTTGTAGTTTTCATCGCTATTTAAATCTGCTTAATTAGGCTGTAATGATAAAAAAACATGATCTTGAAATTATGTGAATATTAAATGTTCAATCTAATTAAAATTAGATGTTCCGAATCCGCTACCGCTTCTCAAAATTTTTAATTTTTATTAGATTGTGAAATGTTGATCTACGTTTCTATCACAATTGTAAACACTGGTAAAGGAGCCTTTAAAATTAACAACAGAATTAAAAGAGTCCTAAGCGTGCAGGTATCGCAATGGTTGAATTGTAACTCCGTTGGCGGATCCAGGAAAGGGGGGGGGTTCGGATGTTGTAGCCCCTTTATTTTAGCAGAAAGAGGAAGAGAGAGTGTGTGTTTTTTTTTCTTCTGTAATATAGATATTTTTACGTCTAGTATTTTCAATAAAATAAGTACTTCAATCTCTGCCATTTCTGCTCTCTAGATAGAGTTTTGCTTATTGCTTTTCTCCTTGTACTTTCAAAACTCCAGCCCCGGGACTCGACAACCCACACATAACATGAAAGATTTCACTTCGATATCAGCAGAAGATTCCGGCGAACGTACATAGCTATTTTTGGACCATCTTCTGAAGTAACTAACTTTAAGAAGTATGCAGGTCATGAAAGGGAGTATGTATAAGAGAATATTTTTATCCTTATATTATGGGGATATTTTAATCAATAAAGAGAAAGATTCAAAATGTCCCCGTAGTATGTTGGGGAGGGGGGCTCACTTTTTCTTAAAAAAAATAATCTTTTGTTATAATTTGAACATATAAGTTTTGATTTGCATTGGAAGCTCCTCCGCACTTTTTGTTGCGGGAAGGTTCAAAATACGGATAATCAAACATTTAAAGGAAATCAAAATGCACCGAAAAGTTTAGACGAAGCCCCCTCCCCCCGAAATAGGATTTTACAGAGTGGTGCACAGGTTGTTATTTAATTTATTTATTTATTGTTGCTTGTCAACTCTTTTTGGAGGTTGCCCCCTTTGAAAACCGTTGCTACGGACTTGAATATAAGTGCCTGCAGTGTGACCTAGACCTCCCCTTTCAAAAACTGGTGAATCCGACCCTGTACTGGAGTATTAGAGGGTCTCGGCACTAGAGGGTCTCGAGTTATCTAAAACGATGCTAGGTTATCGATTAACTCGATCAATTTAAACACACACACAAAAAAAATAATTTTGTGTGTGTGTTTTTTTTCTCTGTCTCTTTTAAATAACGGAATGGTTAATATACAACACCTGCAATCGTAACTTCTCAGCAAAACAACGTGTTTTTCCGAGCTCGCCAGAAGGTCTGAGAAGATGCGATTGACAATCTCATCGCACGTGTGTAGACCTAGGCTATTTCGTCTAGCAAGCACAGGTGTGTGCACTGTTTGCTGGTGACGCTTATACTGGTGACGGTATTTGCTACGGACATGAAGAACTATACACCAGTTTCATAACATGTGCAGTTTTTTTCTAGTGAAAATTGGAGTAAATTAAAAGTTGAATATCTTGGATATGGGGTATCCCATATCTATTCTTGTTACAACGATCGTCAATGCATCCATGGACGAGTTCATTGGTTACTCTGAAAGGTGGCACAGGTCAACCTTTCGTTAACATTTTCTACAATGAACTGCCTACTTTGAGTGAATGTACTAGCAAAGTTAGCAAAGTTGTTAAATTTTATATTCCTGAATGGCCTATAGTTTTGTCATTTAAAAAAATAGGGCTATTTCGATACATGTAAGGGACTTGAAATCTGCACTAGATTTATACGTAAGATATCCTATCATTGGAAAGATAGATGGTACACATGTAGCACAGATCTGTAGTACGCAGATTTTGTTTATGTTTCTCCCTCTCCCCCATGGAAAAACGTTGCTACAGGCCTCTATCAAGCTATATTTGGATTGCTGTCAATCAAATTATTTTGCAAACCTTGATGCACAAAACTAATGCCGGTAAATCTTTTAAACCTAGTAGTTGCAGGCCTGTAGGAAGCATTTTCAGTTGGGGGGGGGGGGGCAGAGTCATGCATTTTTAGTTGACAGTTGAAGGGGCACTACTGACATTTCCTGACAAGCAAAAAAAAAAAGCACAGAAAAAACTCATCAACTACCAAAATTCCTTAACAAGCAAAAAAAAAAAAAAAAAAAAAAAAAAAAAAAAAAAAGAAAGAAAAAAAGAAAAAGAAAAAAAAAGGGAATCAGGCGTATTTATTGAGGGGGCACAAGCACAAATTATCTATGTTTACTATAGTAATCTATATGTCGGCAAAATTAAAAATAATATTTATATTATACATTATAAAATAATTTTCTATATTTATTATACTGGGGGTCGACCGTAACTAGAAGCGTGCTAAGATTTGACAATCTTAGCAAAACTTAGGCGGCCGGTAGAGGTGACTTAAGTATATCTTAATTTTCTTATACGTATATTTAGAACTATATGATGTTTTTTTTTTCGATGTTACAATATTCCTCTATTCATATTATGCATTAAAGAAAATAATTACCTCTATTTAATACTAGTTTAAGAATTTTAATTTTTTGTCGGGCGGGGGGGGGGGGCAGTTTTATTGATCACTGATTCCGTATCTCTCTCAACATGGCATACACGTAAATTGTAAATGCAAATTTCATTATGGGATACGTTTGAAATATTACTGGGACCTTAGTTATAAACACTAATCATTATAAGTAAATTGTACACAGTAATAAATCAAGGATTTGTATGTTCACTGTGAAAATATGAGATGAAATAGGTTTTAAAAAATAGAACAATTGTTGATGAGTAAGAGAATAATGACAAGAAAACTAATAAAGAGTGTCTGTAAATTAGATTAAATGTAGAACGCACTAAGCGCGGATTCAGACGGGGTTCACCACCGTTCAAGAGAGAGAGAGAGAGAGAGAGAGAGAGAGAGAGAGATGTTAATAACTTGAAGTCATACGAAAAATTATCCTCTGAAAACAGTTCTTTTCCATCCTCATGATTCTTGCATGATTAAATTGTAAATAAGTATTTCATAAAACGTCTGCAATCTTTGCTTGGTGACATGGGCTGATACATCGGGGGGGGGGGGGGGGGGGAGAATTCCAAATGTTTTATACTTTTTTTAAGAGTTTCAATATTTCAAGTACATACACATTCGGTTATCGTGCCATGTCTGCGAGAATGACAAATTAAGCAAGTGAACATTAGAGTAACAAACGGTAAACTGAAAATATCGCAGTCTCGATTGATAAACAAAAGTCACACATTTACAATGAACCACTAATTGCCACTTTGTGGCCGTGCAGTATTTGTTTTCAAATATTCAGAATAATTTTTAACAGGATCATATTTTTAAAACGAAATCTATTCTAACATTACTAAAAACCGATAGATAAGGACGCCAACTTTAATATAATATATAATTGAAAACGTAACTGAATCATTTTCTAACAATATATCCAAATAAAGTGAAAAACTAGGGTGATTCATAAGAAATATTTTGAACATAAGTTTGACTTAGCTAAGACAAATATTTAATTTTTTTATCTAATGATTTTCAAAAATGAATACAGTAAGGTAAAACTCGATTTAAATCATCAGAGATTTGATAAAAATGTTAAATGTTTAGAAAGTAACATATGACTGTTAAAACACCCCCACCCCGGCCATTCAATTACAGCGTGCAAGACCGAGTCATGCACAACAGTTGCAGCTTGATTTCTACGATGCAATAGATTTATCAATCTCGAGATCTGAGCGAAAGAAATATTCTTTGCCATTTTTAAATGCCTGTTTTTCAGATGATAAGGTCGAATTTTCTCTAGACAAGCGCAGTGTAGTAACCCTTGGACTTCCGGTCCAAGGACTGTCATTCATGCTAATGATATGTAAGAGCCTGTTGAGGTATGATGTGGTGCATATTTGCATCTGCAACTCTCCATCACCTTTATTTTGAGATTTTCCAGCTAGAGCAATGGAAATGCGTACTTAAGTCATTTTCAGGAAGCCTTGGCTTACGGAAAAGAAAGGAGAATTTACTTTTCGGAACATTGCTGCATTACTTATGATGAACAGATAAAAATCCTTAAAACCCATATTATTGCCAAATGTTTTATTAAACATGCAATTTTTGATTTATGTTAAGCGGACTCAAACTTAACTTCCGGTTATGGTATGAAAATCATTCAACCTTTAAATTACCGATATTTACCAAGTTGAAGATGTCCTTACTTTTAGATACAAAATTATGTCGTATATGTAATATTTCCCTTTAAAATAGGATGTTGCGTTTCTTTTGCGTTTCAGAGTATAGGTAAAAAGATTTACCTTTAGTAAGGAGAAAATTGAATATTCAGAAAACAAATTTTTAAATTCATACTTTCACAAGTATTTAGGTACAAATGTATATTTGGATTTTAATTAACGATTATAAAAGGAAGACCAGGGATGGAATTTATATTTAATTTCATGGCAATGATATTTAGATTAAGAAAACAAAAAAAAAAAAACACTGAGCGATTTGTATTGTTGTGAAATCACCGAATTCCTCTGTTTTGACGTGTAACATTGAAATGGAAATATTTGAATTGGAAAATGTATTTTTTCATCATATTAAAAAGCTGTTTGTTTACACATTCACATTGAACATGTTAATATTATATAGTTGCTACTTTGGTCGAATTGACCGAATTTTGATCACAAAATGTACATTAATTAAGATGCTCAGATCTCACAAATTACCGTACACTCGTGTATTTTATATGACGCCGTCTTTCCTAGCACATATATATTAATTTATTTCTTTTACAGAAACTATAACAGCAACATAGTAGAATAGAAAATAATGGAAGAAGAGAAGGAGACGTGTTCTATATTACACTGCATTTTTTGCAAGACAGATTTGGTTACACCAGCAACCCTGCGATGCCTTCATTCCCTGTGCAAACCATGCTTAATGACATTGATAAAAGAAAACAGTGAAACAGAGTCTGCAGTTTTTGCTTTGAAGTGCAAATTATGTAACTATATAACACGTCTGAAATGTATCTCAAAAACACAAGATATTAAAGGAAAGATATTTCGGTCACTTTCACCGCCTAAAGCTATCCTAACTTTGCTTGACTTCTCCAAACAGTATCAAGAGTTTGACTGCACACCATGTAGAAATCGAGGAAAGTCCACTTCCTCAATGTACTGGTGCTTTGATTGCACTGTTTACCTCTGTGACGAATGTTATCTATTTCATTCTTCTTTACCCATCCTTGCAAATCACAAAACTTATAAAAGGGAAGAGATGGCAGATATAACAACACTACTTTCTTCAGCACGAGATATATGCAATCGTCACGCCTTACGTCTCACTCGAGTATGCAAATCTACTGGGAATATATGCTGTGATACATGTATTTCCTGTGCCCATATGGATGTCTGCGCTGGAGAACATAAAGATATATCAGAAATATCAAGTATGGTTGATCCCAAACTGTCGGCTCTGAAAATTTCCATCGAAACACTTCTCGATGAAATAAAAAGAATTTTCACCGATGCATCTGAGGTTGAATCAACGATTTTAAATTTTTTTAAAACCAATCTAAGCACCTTAAAAACTCTGGGTGATACTATAGAAAAAAACATTCTGGAGAAAACAGATTTGTTTCTGGCAGAGTCTTACAAAATTGCTTATTTTAAGCTACATGAATTAGAGTCCAATTCCATTGCTCTGCGACGAAAAAAATGTGTGTTGGAAAATGCACAAAGCATAATATCAGTTTCTCGGGCCAGCTCTGCAATCCGTAGATTCCTTGAGAAAAAGAAAGTAAAGAATACTTCTTTAGAAGTACACGAATTTGTCGAAAAAATTAAGGAAGAGGAAATTCAAAACATTTCCATTTTCTTTGATCCATCTTTGAAAAAATTGTTGAAATTAGCCACTTTTGGAACATTTAGGCAAAGACAATCTGAAGAATTGCCAAGCGTTAAAGCCCATACAGATACAAAACAGGAAAACTCAAACATTATCAGTCGATGGGCAAGTCAAATAAATGTTCGTACAGGAGAAGAAAATATTGGGTTGTTAAAGCGAGCCTCTAGCGAATTAAATCTACCAGCTGAATCTTCGCAACATTTTAGCTGTGAAACGGAAACAATATCCGAACAATGTAGTTGTTCATCTGTTGTGAGAATATTACAGTTTGGAGGAAGAGAATACATACTTTCAAATTCTATAAACATAGAAAGTGGATATTCTCACGTTACGGGATGTGACTGGAAATCAGATAACGAAATAATCATTGCCGATGCTGCTGTAAAGGGGAGACCAGAAGTCCGAATATATAACACAAAAAATGGTACATTAAAGCAAAAGATACCTTTAAGTTATAAACCATATGATGTAGCCGTCCTGCCCGACAGTAACTTTGTCATGACATTCCCGAAAGAAGAGAAATTATTAATCGGCAGTTTTGGGGATCTTAGTTCCAAAAGATTCGTCGATGTTTCAATTAATTGTTATGGTGTATGTCACTGGGGAAAAGGGACAATTATTGCTGGCAAGGACAATATAGTGTTCTGCGATATTGATTTTGATGAAATAAAAACATTAACTGTTGACGGAGATGATGTCAGATATATCTGTGCGTACAACAATAATTTAATTTTTTACACCGATTTGCATAACAACGAAATCTGTAGCGTTATTGGAAATGGCGATAATCGATTCACGTATGACGATACCGACCTCAAGGGACCAGCAGGAATTATTCTTGATGAATACAAAAACGTGTATGTTTGTGAAAAAGGTTCTGAAAATCTTATTGTTTTGAACAAAGGTGGATCATTTCTTAAAAAGTACAACGTTGGAAAGAATCCAACGGCGATATCACTTTCCAAAGACAAAACAAAAATATGCATAGTTAGGGGAGGGCGTCACTCAAATAATGTAGCAGACATATATGCTTCAAATTAAAGATAATTTTGCAAGGTATCCCCTGTATCCTTATGATCAGCTTAATCAAATGAAGTTACCTTGATGCTTTTACACAAAATAAAGAACAAGGTACGGTTTCAAACCAAATCTTGCCCGCTGTTTTTCTTAAAAATGAAAGTGATGCAAAAAATTAAAACTCATGCTTTCTGAATCATTGAAATTCCATGTAGAAAGATCATACAAAACATTTTTCTCACATGACCTTCTAAATGCTAATTGTGACGTCATAAACTTGTGCATTTTCCCGTAATTTCTTAAAAAGTTGCAGAAGACATCAATTTTCAATGGAATTTTCTTTCAGATAATATTGTCCACATGCATCGCCCACAAAGATTTTGAGATATGTGATTTTTCATAGAATTTTACACAACATATCTGAAAATTAAAGTGGGCGACGGCTGTGGACACTATTTTCTTAAGGAAAATAACTTCAAATGGGTCATTTTGAGGCTTTTTCTGTTTAAAATAGAGAAATGCATTAAATTAATGACGTCATATTTCCAGATAAATTACAAGAATTTTGTGAACATGCGGGATCAAAAGTAAACATACATAAAACAGAATGCATTTTGTTAGGGGAACTAAAAAAGATGTATAATGAACTCCACGGCATAAAAATCACGAATAAAGCAGTAAGATGCTTAGGAATCTTCATTGGACACGACAAGGAAGAATGTTACACTAAAAACTGGATGAAAATTTATCACGATATTGAAAAACTTTTTGAATCCTGGAAAAGAAGAAAACTTACGTTATTTGGTAAATCATGTATAGTAAAGACACTTGCGATATCTAAACTTACATATGTTGCTTCAATACTTAGTCTTCCTGATATTGCTTACATGAAAAAAATACAACGTTTAATTTATAACTTTATTTGGGATAAAAATGAACGAATTAAACGAAACACGCTAATAGGTAGAATTTCAAAAGATGGCCTCTCAATTGTTGATATTGAATGTAAATTAAAAGCTTTAAAAGCGGCTTGGGTACCTAGGTTGTTAAGAAAAAAGGGTGTTTTGTACAACATTTTTTGATGGCTATTGTATAAAATTAAATTTTGATGCTCCTTATGCGTTAAGTTTCTCCGATAGAAAGATAGAAAATATAGAGAAACTAGAGAAACTACCTATTTTCTATCAACAAATGTTATGTTGCTTCAATGATTGTAAACCTTGTTCTTTGAACAAAATGTCTTCCGATAATATTCTTCAACAGCCGATATGGAACAATTGTAACTTTGTTTATAGAGGAAATACATTATTTTTTAAAAATTGGATAGTCAGTGGGATTTTACATGTTAAAGATTTGTTTGACGATGATGGTAATTTCAAATCATTGTCAGATTTTTCGAATTGTATAAAAAACAAGTCAAACTGGTTGTGTGAATATAAAATTCTTACTTCTGTTTTCAAACCTTTACTACGAAAGTATGATTTTTCAAATTGTAAGTTTGTGAACATACGCTACAGAAATTATTTTCTCTTCTGCACAGGATATGTTAATGTCTTAGATCAAAGATGCAGATTTTTCTATGAAAATTTTGTACACAAGAAATTTTGTAAACCGTGCTATCAAACAGTTTTAAACAAAGAGTTCAGTGTTGAACCTGTAGAATGGAAAAATATATATCAATGTAAATTATACGACATACCCGATAGACAACTTACAGAATTCAACTATAAACTTTTAAACAATATTCTCTGTAATAATTTCTATCTCAGTAAATGGAAAAAAGAAACGAACAGCCCTTGCAAATTATGCCATGTGAACGAAACTTCAAAACCTCTCATTTTTGAATGTAAAAATGTTATTGAAATATGGAACAGATTAAGTTCTTACCTGAAAATAGATATCAAATGGAAACATGTAATGATTGGATTTAGTTCTGAGCGTAATAGAAAAATTGTATCACTCAATACACTCATCTCTTATGTTGCCTATAGAATTTACAAATATAAGATGTACTGTCGACTACATTCCTTGGATGAAACTAGCTACAACATTTTTAATCATGTTAAATCTTCAATAATTTTCTATGCTTCCATTCTGAAAAAATTGAACTCTCTTGTAGACTACAGGCTTTTTAAAGATTTTGCCTAAAATATTTTTGAATGCATGTTTCAATTGCTTTACAATGTATTAAGTCAATATTGCCATATTATCTTAAGTTCGTAATGTAACTTGTTCTAAGTATGTTATATATATATATATATATATATATATATATATATATATATATATATATATATATATATATATATATATTTCTATGTTTGTTTTTATTAAGAAATAAAAATAAAATATGAAAAAAAAAAACTTCCAGAATGGTACTCCTCCATGCCATACTCTTTCCTGATTTATCACAGTCATATACTCAACTCATATTTTAGCCAAGTTTCAAAACTTTTTTGAAAACATGATTTTTTTAGGGCACAATGAAGCTAAAACTATACCTTCTTCTTTAGAGATGACCAATGACAGGGTTTTTTATTGAAGAAGCAGTTTTCTATTCTGTTTTGATGTCAAGGCAACATTAAAGGTACCTGAACACAGCTGCATTGCCGTTTTTGCTTACAATTTTAAATTTCTATTTTTATTAAAAAAATAACTTCAGTTAAATGATGAAAATTCTTAAATTCAAAGACAAAATAATTTTTTATAACATCATGGCAAACTCCAATGTTTGTAAACACGGTCACGAGCTCTGTTATTGTTAATGTTTACGTTTTACCGGTTTTTCCCAATTTGTTTACTCTGTACACATCACTAAGCATGGACTGGGAATATCGGTGAGTTGAGTTTGCTTTCACAACATTCTACCTTGAATTTGGAGACCAACGATAGAAAAGATGTTATCAGGTTTATCCTTAATGTATGCCATCAGTGTTTCAGTAAATATCCAAATATAAGCAAATGTGTCAGACTCTGTGGTGTCATATATTTCGAGTTTAGGTGGGATATATGGAATCATTAACGTCCAAATGAAATTGAATGTTGTTAAGTGATAATTCATGAGAATACCGAAACAGGTCTGAATAAATCAGGGGACAATGTAATAAAACACATCTTTTTAATATGAACCAGTTAATTCTTGTGTGTATTATTATCTATTCTTGTGTGTATTATTATCTATAGAATGTGTTTTTTAACAAAATAATTTTGACCAGTGTCAAGGTATGTAAATTTAAGTATTCATTTTCCAGAGTAAACAGTTGTCTATGATGCTTAAAAGCTTGGCCTTTTATTTGTCGTGGGGAATGATTGTTTGAAATGTTGAAAATCGTATGTTTTGATGCTTTTGATAAACAATTTGTGATTTCAATTTTTTTTAAATATTTTTGTTTTTGATTTTGAAAGTAATGAAGATTTTTAGCATGTGAAAATTATGAATATGTACCATCAGAATCAATTAACCATTGAATTCTTATGTGTATTATTAGCTATAGTAAAATTAAATTGAGTCAAAACAATATATATTTTGGTGTTACTAGCGTATTGAAAATGCATATAGTTCCTACATATTGTGTGTGTTATAGTGTATTGAATGTTGTAAATTTCCAATAGACTTCCTAAAGAAAATTACACTGAATATAAATATAAGAAAATGAACTATGCTGCAAAAACATGTTAAAGTATTGACGACTTTATTCTAAAATCTTTTTAGCATTGAATTCTCTTTTTTTGGATGCCTTCGGTTCTATAACAACACCTGGCCGTGCGGACAAATGGAATACTGTGCGTTAGCGCGTTACGATACTTTGTCGGCAAGGACGACCCCCCCCCTCCCCCCCCCCCCCCAAAAAAAAAAAAAATAGGGCTTATACAGGTAACTCTCAATGGTTCGAAGTTCGATATCTTGAGGTTTGTGATCGCTCGAAAAGAATCTCTCGTCTAAGTCAAAATGCAGTCCCGCTATTCATATTGTAATTTACCCTCGATACCTCAAAGTGTCAAAGTGGCTATGTGCACTCAAGCGTTTCGTAATAACACTGTTACACCTTAAATTTAAACAATAAAATGCTTTCTTTGGTTGTTTGTACGGGAATTAATGTTGCAGAAAAAATGCATAACCCGCATAAGCGAGTTACGTGATTTTTTTTTTCTGCAATAGCTGCAACATTAATTCCCGCACTAACAAAGAAAGACATTTCATTGTTTATATTTATATCTGTGCAAATATTCATTCAAAATAGGATTTAGTAGATGAAATAGTGTATTATTGTTATTCACGTCATTGTACGTTTCATTGATAGAACAGCCAAGCTCCAGAAATCTGTAGAGGTGATATGCTTAAGTGGTGTTTACGGACTATGAACGGCAATGTTTCTCTTAAGAAATAAAGGAGATAATATTCAGTGGATGTAAATATACGATTGTAAACATAAATATTTCAATAAATTCTACCTCTTCCTTTTTTCCCAATACAATGATAAAATACAGGTAGATCTAGGTAAATTTCAGACAGAAAGCAGACTATAATATTGCAATCAAAACACTTTTCACACCTATTGTTCTATATTTAATTATCAAATGTGTGCAAAACGGGAACACACCCTTAAATGGCCTCAGACATTAGACTTGGGACCCGAGGAACGGGATGTTTATTCGGGTGACACTTGCACTGCTAAGTAATACTTAATTGATACAAGCAAATGTAATTAATCATTTTGTTGTCTGGTTGTCTTTGTCACAGATGACACCAGCGTAAGGCCTTATAATAGGTACACGGATCCCATCCCTTTAATGGACACCTGTAAGAGATCCATTCCTTAGGTCATGGAAGTCTGTGGAACCGTCATAACTTATACCTGTCGAAACCATGACTTAACCACAACCAAACCGGTCATGTTCAGCAAAGCAACAGTCATTGAATCGCTCGTTTTTCTTCCTCTATACATGCTTACGACCATCATTAAAATACAGACAAAAGCTTGATTCACTAGTTCATAACACTCCGTGGATATTAAGATAGTCCCAGTTGACATGGACTTGAACAAACAGCTGGAGGCGACGGTTGCGATATTCCACGGTCAAAGGTGAACGTACTGCAGGTCTTCTGGCACGTACTCCCGCATCATGAAGTCTGTTTCATAATGTTTATGTGGAGATCCATATACTTATTGCTATAGTTAGCTCTCTGTTTAGTGCGACTGCTGAAGACATTCGATTTCAAGTATTGCTATTTGTCTATATTGTGACAGTTATACTTTTTGGCGACCACTTTTAAGTCTCCGTTTCATGTTCCTAGTCTCTTCATATTGTTCCAACAAACGTCTTATAACTGAATGGCTGACACCCGGTTGTGCACCGACTTGATGTGGTGAACATCCAGCTTTAAATATTCCAATGGCCCTTGCGGTTCCTCTTCTGTCAGATGTCTTCTTTAAGGCAAGATAACTGATTATAGGCAAAAAAGCAACTAAAATTGTACAAATAATCGAATCCTGTTCGTTTTGAAGTTTGCCATTGGGTATACAAGATAACCAATATCCAAGGCGTTGGGATGATGTCAAACATTAATAATCGAAATACCAGAATTTTAGCACAAATCAAGAGTGTGTTTGAATAACAATTCAAAAACATGTATGGGAAACCCTGATAAGGATATTTTTAACAAACAAATTATATATATATATATATATATATATATATATATATATATATATATATATATATATATATATATATATATATATATATATAAGCAGTCCCGGGGACTGCTTTCTGGGACTGCTAAAGCAGCGGTCCCAGAGCAGTCCCACAGCGGTCCCAGAGCAGTCCCATACCGGTCCCAGCAGTCCCAGAAAGCAGTCCCAGGGTGGGGTTAATTAATTAAATGGGCGGACCTTACTCAGAAATGAGATTACCAATAAACAATGTAACTATAAAAGGCAGCTAAAAATTATTATCATTTCTTTCTGAGTAGTATCAACAAATATTTACAATTCTTACACGACAGACATTTCTGAACTGTTAAGAAAATTACAGTACGCGTAGAGAAATAAATAATAATTATTGAACGAAGAAGGCATTCACACCCATTAAGGACATACGCAACGTAGTTTGAACTTTATAGTCTTTTTCCCTGGAGTTGAGGAGTTCCAATACTTAAAGGAACTGTGTGCTATATTTTAATGTCTATATATGTTATTGTACACTTTTTCAAAAACAAGTTTGGATAAACAAAACATCTAGAATATATGTTTATTAATTTTTGTATATTTTTCTTTGAATTATACCAGAATTTTAATCAATTGATATCATTTTAAAACCCCTGGTAACACATGCTGATTTTATGTCTACGAACATCTGATGGCACTACAATCTTAAATTAAGATTATCTCGAAAAATTATCAGTAGGTAAGGTACGTTGCGTTTGTCCTTAATAACATGAACTTTCAAACACAATTATTTGGTATATTAATTTTTCACCAACATAAATCAATGTTTTTATTTTCTTTGATGGATATTGGTTTTTGTATTTATTTATTTATTTTTTATATTTTCTATGCCGAGTATTATATTTCAGTCATGATTATTTTCAATGACTATCCAATTTAATTATCATTAGATTTTCAGTTTTAAGTGTTTTATTACATAAATGGTCAAGTGTGCATCTGTAAATCACTCGAATGGAACCCTCAGATTATATTCAAAATTAATTAATCCCGAAATAAATTTTAAACACTTATTGAAACCAAGATTTTTTTGCAATACATACATGTAGATTGAAATTAGTGTCATTGTTGACCAGCGTGTTCAGTGATGTGTAACACTGATACCCAAGTAACATGCATTGACTTTCTGCTAATTATGCCCAAAGGCGATTGAAACCTCAGGTGTTGACACCAACAAAACAATTAAGAAATAAGTCCCAATTCCCGATATTTTCAAATGTTTATTTTTTTTTAAATAAACGTACTCTTTTAATAATTTGTTTATAAATTAAAAACCAATTCATAAATAAATCCCCCAATAATTGTTCACATTGTTTATGTGACAGGGGAATGGTTGAATAATAAAAAATCATTTTATTTCATGGTCATTTAATAAATTATTAGGTTTTATTTGAGGGCAGTAAAAAATAGCATGGATTGCTCTTTTTATGCATGGTATTAGCTTTTTCAATTAAGAAAAAAATCCAGTACAGTACGTCCCTCTGAATATCTTACTGAATTGACAAGTTTGTTTGGTTTTGTTGTCATTTTTTAAAATTAATTCTAGACTACAATTGTGTAAATTTACAGCCCCTGAAGACATTTAGTAATTACATGCATAACCATCTCTACTTATTTAAATTTTATAAGAAATACTTAAACACCTCTCTGCAGAAAGTAAACGAAACAACAACAGGGAGCCTTCAAATTCAGAATACACAAGGGGCGGAGCTATCTTGTCACTCAGAACCTTTTTCACGCATAGGTGCACAAAGCAGTCCCAGAAAGCAATCCAAGGGACTGCTGGGACTGCTGGGTCTGCTTTG